TTTTAGTTTTTTATATATATGGAAAAAACCTTATGAGCAAATATTTTAATACTATCATTACATAACAATGTTTACACCTAGAATAAGAAGTTAGGCTTAGAAAGACTTGATATTAGAAAAAAAGTAGTAAATCCTTACCTTAATGCACGACTGAGTTTCTCGTAGTTCATTGTAGGTTTGTTTTTACGTTGTCCCCATTTTTGTGCAACCAGTTCAGGCTGATTTAGCTTGAACTCGCCTTCATCGCCAACCCAAGAAATACAGTCTCGAGCATCCTTGTCAGTAAGAAGTTCTAGCAAAAACTGCCATAGTTGGATTTGGCCATTGTTTCCTAAATTGATAGGAGTAATAAGCATTGGCTATAGTGTTACGGATTATCACAGGGCAAAGACAATACACAGGTCCCCTGATTTAAATCTCACCCGTGGCAAAAAACAAATTTTTTTCCTTGTTGTCTAATACTTTCAGAAAAATAGTCTATATTCACATTTTCATATAGTGAAATAAAACAATATATACCTAAATCGACAAATTTTATAAATACGAGATAATGCAAAAATACCTGTCCTGTTCCCAGGTGAACTTCTATCTTCTCCTGAGATCCTTGGAGCTCTTTGTACTTTAGCTGCCTTTGTACTGCTATTTATAACTTTAATAGTACTTGGTGTAGCAGACTGTACTGATGCTGGAATAATTTGCACAGCTGTAAAGACAGACGAGGAAAATTTTCTTTTCTTCCAATACAAGCAGTGAAAAAAAATTACTAAAATGCATTAAATGCAATCGGTTTAACTAATTCCCCTCCAATTACTCCAAGAAAAGATCTCATTAGACCAGGTGCGGTGGCTCATAGTCGTAATCCTAACACTTTGGGAGGCCAAGGCAGGAGGACTGCTTGAGGCCAGGAGTTCAAGAAAAGACCTTATTACAAAAAAAGCCTTAATCCACATCAGTTTTGAACAAAATCACAAAAAAGTTCAGAGGATAAAGTATGATATTTGCCTTATGGTTTGTGAATCCTATCTTAGTGAATAAGAGTTGGTATTCTTGTTTTGAAATAACTCAGTGGTTCATACACATTAGACAAAGACAGTATTCAACAATTTGTTTTTAAAACATTTGCTCCTAAAAATGGTTTATCAAGTGTTGGAGAAAATGTGGACAAATGAGAACTCACATTCCACTACTGATCACTCTGAGAAAGACTCTGGTAATACCTAAAGGGTAGAAACCCTATGATACTAAAACCAGAGAATCTTACACACGTTCTTACAAATACTTATTCAATAATATCCACAGCATTTTTAAAATACTATACAGTGATAAAACTGAATGAAATTGAGCTGCAATATCAACATAGGTAAGTCTCATAAGTGCTAAACAAAAAAATTATAAAAGGATACATACGATATATTACCATTTTATCCCAAATGTTTAAACATGTACAAAACAATGCTATAAAGTATTTATGGTTACTTAGTTGGTAAAAATATAAAATATGCAGAGAGTAATGAACATCAAATTCAGCATAGTCATTTTTCTCATTTCCTCTGAGAGAGGAAAAGGGGATCTGCAACAGGTAAACGTGTTTTTTTTTTTGAGACAAAGCCTTGCTCTGTTGCCTGGGCTAGAGTGCCATGGTGTCAGCCTAGCTCACAGCAACCTCAAACTCCTAGGCTTAAGCGATCTTCCCGCCTCAGCCTCCCACAGTGTTAGGATTACAGGCATGAGCCACCATGTCTGTCCGTTAAACTTGATATTTAAAGTTTTATTTCTTACGGTGTACATAGGTGTTAGTTGTACTTTTTTTGTATATCTCAAATTCTTCATAAAAATTTTTTTAAAAATTGTTTTCCTTTTTACTACCTTGTAATATTAAATAAACATTTCTTATTGATAAATGGGCAAATATTATTGGCATGAATACTCACGTTGATCAATTGTAACTATTTCATTCATCTGTTGTTCTTGGCTTGCCAATACATCTGAAAAACATATAAAAAATTTTTGTTTTCATTTAAAACCAGGAATACAAACTCCAATCTGGTAACACTCAACTTAATAAACATGATCCTTACAAAGGGAACTCCACAATTAAAACCAAAACCAAACAAACAAAAAAGCAAGACATTAATTGAAACTTATTGGCATAAAAACCTAAAAAATACTTGATACTGGCTTTATTTATAGGGAAAAGATATCTTTAAGAGAAGTAACACAGGGAAAGCTCCAATTTCTTTTAGTGTTCAGAAAAGTTACTTG